TTCCCTCCCCTCCGCACACTCCAGCTTCCTCTCGAATGCAAAACGCTCCTTCAGATCGGGAAATGGCCAAACGTTTCGACGCAGTACCATCCCGAAAAAAGAGCCTCCAGGACAGAGCGAGTGTCTCGCTGGCGATGCGGGCGAACTTGAACAAACACGGGCATGTGTGCTTGCACACAGCGACACAGAGGGGGCTTCGCACACGCCTGAGCCTCCTGGTCCCCTGCGGTGGCTCTAAGTGGAGAGGAGATGGAACGGAGATCACGGTCAACTTCCCCACGCAGCCCCTGACTGAGAGACAGCGCTTCAAAGCCCACTCACTGAGCCAACGCAGAGTGGCACGATGTAGAGGCAAGCGGGCGATAGGAGAAACTCTTCGGAGTGCAAGGGCTTTTAAAAATACGGTCAGAGCTTAATTGTAACAGGGTCCATCCGGGTCGGTGACCCGACATTTTTTTGTCCACCAGCACACCACATCCAGTATCCCTCTCGCTGTGGCTGTGGTTACTAGTCACGTGCCAACTGCTCCATATTACGAGCAGCCTGTAAGTTGTTCAGCTGGAAATTAAGGCCTGGCGATGGTGCGGGAGAGTACGATTGCATATCCCATGGACAGCGAGAAGAATTGGCGCATAGAGATGGAAAACAGAGTAGTTTGCACACGTGGCTATATGCGTGCTGGGGACAAAAACTGAAACTGTTGACGTTTGGTAAAGTGGGATGAAAAATGTATAGAGGTTGAGAGAGACTAATCCGGACAGATACGGTAGTATTATACATATTATATTGAACTTCTTTCGCATCGTACGAAGCCAACCGTGCTAATTAGAGGTACAGGCGAAGGACAGCAAACTAAATACAAAAAGCAGTTTTAAAGAAATTAGTTAACACAAATAAATGTAGCTGGGAGAATGGTGTATGGTGCCTTCTTCTTTCGCATGACAAATTTTTGATGCAGAGCAGCAACTACAATTTCACAATTCTAGATTTGAAATTTTCGTGACTGCAAGGATTCATATTCTTAGGTTTTTTCGGTAAAGTCACGTAGGTAAAAAATTTAAATGAATAAAAGTAAAATAAAAACGTCGTGATTTTTATTTTATTTTTATTTTATTAATATTAAATTTATTTTTTTACCTACGTGACTTTTCCGAAAAAACCTAAGAATACAATTTCACATTCAGCCAGATAACTGCATCAGGAGCAGTGGAGTGTAATCACTGCCTCCTTCATCTTTGTGGATCGGGTCATTGCGTCGTTATAGGTTGTACGGTCTGTTCTGGATGACCACAGTCGCACACTACTGGAGAACATTTAATTTTCCCATTTGCGCATCAGGTATCCGCATCTGCCATGGTTTGTGCAGTGGACGCGATTTAGGGTGGACCACGAGCTTTGCACAAGATCAAACGCAGGAATCTTCTGCGTTGGGTCTTTCACAACAGTACCCATGTCTCGATTTAAAGCTTTCGTGACTGCAGGGATTCATCTTCTTGGTTCTTTCGGTAAAGTCACGTAGAAGGGAAGTAATAAAATAATAAAAATACAACATATTAAAATAATTCAATTTCGATTTCAAGCTTTCGTGACTGCAGGGATTCATCTTCTTGGTTCTTTCGGTAAAGTCAAGTAGAAGGGAAATAATAAAATAATAAAAATAAACATAATAAAATAATTCTCCCGACGTTTCGGCCACAACATAATAATTCTCACGACGTTTCGGCCACAACATAATAAAATAATTCTCACGACGTTTCGGCTGCTTGCGTTGTGGCCGAAACGTTGTGAGAATTATTTAATGATGTTTTATTTTTATTATTTTATTATTTCCCTTCTACGTGACTTTACCGAAAGAACCAACAAGATGTACCCTTGTCGTAGCAAAAGGGCAACACCGCGAAGGGTGGAGTAGTTTCATCATGGACGTGACAAATGAACAGCAGCAGTGAGTGTAAGGAAGAAGAGAGCGTGGCCTGTGCTGCATCATCGCGGTTGCCCACAGCACCCAGGTCGCTGCCACAGGACACAAGGCTCCCATCGTGTGCTCTCTCCACTGCTTCTGAAGTGAATATTTCGGTATTTAAGGAACTGGGCATTCCTTACGCCTCGAAGCCATAACCACTCGGAATGTTCAGACCATGGACACTGGCGTTAACTTACATTCGTGCTTGGACACATAGAATCATTCTTGAGTGTAAGCGCTTTTGAAACATGCCATGAATGGCAGTATTACTGCGCTCAATGTGCCTGCGTACATGTTTTTTTCACAAATTATTTTTATTTAGTTTAGTTCGTATTTCACGTTTACTTTCTTTTTTTAACCCGGGTCTCCCTTGAAAAGGATAAATTTTAGTCAGAATGGGCTTTCACCCACTCGCGAATTAAAGCTCACGGCTGTGCGTGCATGTTCAATCTGATGGGCACATGGCGTTTAGTTTTTATGGACCCAGTTTATGGAAATCACTCCCCGAGTTCATCTGGGACGCTATGTCCTTAGCTGTATTGAAACCACAGCTAAAACATAAACATATAAAAATAATTACAATAACAACAATGTCACGTGTTTATCCATCATAGCCTCAAGGAGTATCTTCGCTGTCAGGAGGCTGCTGCATTGGAATGAATGCCTGGCCAATTGCAACTACGAATGTTTGGCTTCGTGTGGGAGGAAACACAGATGGAATTAATAACCCAACACCGCCACAACTCTAGCCACCTCCCATCCGGGTGAGTTTGGATTTTCACAAATCCCACATGATCCATCTCCGCGCGTTTACAAGCCACCCCGCGTCAAGCTCTACGTTACGAGAGCGTGCAACCGTATTTCATAATTTTAGAGTTACGTAGTTTTCCTTACGGTCGGGACGGGTGAAGGACTTTGTGAACGTGTGTCACGAAAGGAATCACACACTCTATAAATCAAGTGTTGTTGCTGTTATTATTATTATTCCGAAGCCATTCATTCGCCAGTAGAACTGCTCGCGAATGAATGGTGGCTGGGTCGTCAGCTGTCAAGACGGGGTCTAAGAAGCCCTTCGGTGCCAATTCCACTGTGCACAGCGCCTCTGTGTCTTCATTGCTACAGCTGTGGGCACTTTCAAAACACAGGCTAATGCTCATTATGATTAATCCGAGTGGGGCTTTTCCATCGTCGGCTGCTTTCCGGTGGTAAAACCACTGCATTTCCAGTTCCTGCCGTCCAGTGTGTAGATATTGAGTATTAACCACCCCCCACCCCACCACACCCACTACCCCTCCACCACCCGCCTCTAATTTCGTGTGGAAGAAGAACCAGCCATCAGTCATAAGAACAGCCCATTGAGTCGTCTCATTGTATTATTCAGCTTTCACGAGGAGGGGTTTGTCCGATGCCGGTTAAGTGAAGCGTCGATACTTTTGTGTTTGGCTCGAGCCGAGCTGGATCATGCTGATGGATCAAACAAAGACAAAGATCCCCCGTATAGCCTTTAACAGACTGTTGGGGCAAGTGCTGTTAGTGAACGCCTATGGAGGCAGGGAACGGCACACGAGAGGGTGGGTGGCCAGCACCACGCCCGACCGCTTTTGTCTCCCCAGTGGTGATGTTTACACGCAGCACCAGGTACTCATTTGAGGCTGAGTCGACTCAGCCTCAAATGAGTACCTCGTGCGATGTGTAAACATCGCCACCAGGGAGACAAAGGCGGCCGGGCGTGGTTCTGGCCACCCACCCCCTCGTGTGCCGTGCCGGCCTTCATAGATGCTCGCTAACAGCACTTGTCCCAACAGTCTGTTGAGGCTATACGAGGAGGGGGGGGGGGTCTTTGTCTTTGTCTCGTCCTTGTTGGCTGCCCCTGTGCGTTTCCTCGCGAAGCTTTAACGCACACTCGGCCGTCAGGCGGCTTGAGCAGATGTCCCGTTTCACACGAACTCCCTACCCCCCCCCCCCCAGCCACGGCCCTCCCAATCTGTCACTCTCACTGGTGAGCTCCCTGCTCCTCGCGTTTACAAACATCCCACTCGAGCCTTCACACAAACACCACAAAGACAAAAATGCCCCGTATAGCCTGTAACAGACCGCTGGGGCAAGCGCTATTAGCGAGCACCTACGAAGGCCGGCACGGCACACGAGGGGGCGGGTGGCCAGCATCCACGCCCGGGCCGCCTTTGTCTCCCCAGTGATGGTGTTTGCACACCGCACCAGGTTTACTCATTTAAGGCCGAGCCGACCTAGGGGGGGGGGCCTAGGTCCGATTCATATAACAACGGCACAGTGATGTTTAGTTAAGCAGTGACCGGTACACACAAAACTCGGGTCACCGGTTTCACTGCGCGGTGTGCTAACCGCTGCACCACCACCGCAGCTCAGCGCGCGTGTGTGTACATCATCATTATTACACGCCTCGTGCACAATGCAGCACAGCACGATGCCCGTGCTTACTTAAACGTGTTTATTTATTCACGAGCGATTGCGGAAACGTCCGATAGCGGGGAGGAGGTAGGGGGCCCCAGGCGGCAATCGGTGACATAAGGCAGTGGGCGCAGGAGGATGTGCCTCCTTTGTTGGGACAATGCGTCAAGAGGGCATTTATTCGAGGCCGGGCAAGGGGAAGCCCCTAGGCTGATGCAATACAGCCGAGGGCAGACTTCATTCAATTAGCAGCGATGTACCCAGAGCCTGCCTCCTGCACACAATTCGCTCGCAATGCATCCGCTGGCGTGTCTCCCTCTCGCTCTCTCTCTCTCCCTCGAGTCCTGGGGCAAATCCAAAGATCCGGGGGACTTCTAGATTTGAAGCTTTCGTGACTGCAAGGATTCATATTCTTAGGTTTTTCGGTGAAGTCACGTAGGTAAAAAATTAAAATTAATAAAAGTAAAATAAAAAAAATAAAAAATAAAACTCATTGAGTTGTGGGGGAGCCGACGCTGCCAAACGTGCGGCTGATGGAGCGAGGGGACCGGATGTGGGACCCGGAGGATCGCAAGGAAATTATTTGAAGAGCGGGAGGGTAACTTGAGAGTTCCTTGTCTGCTCGCGCTGCCACCGCCGCCACCAGCAGATCGACTTCTCTCACCCGAAGAAGTTTGGCCAGGGCTCGCGCTCCTGCCGCGTGTGCTCCAACCGCCACGGCCTCATCCGCAAGTGCGGCCTCAACATGTGCCGCCAGTGCTTCCGTCAGTACGCCAAGGACATTGGCTTCCAGAAGCTCGATTAAAGCCGGCGGCGGATGAGAGGGGGGATGGAAGGCGTCGTTGCCTCCACTCCGAGCTCGCGTCGCCACCGCTGTTATTTTGGGATTTAAATAAACGATGTGAGATGATGGAAAAAAAAGAGAGCTCTCGTGTCGCTGGCGCACGTGGCCACCGCTTGGTGAAGAGGGCTCTTCGCAGGACGCGAAACCCGGAACGTCGAATGGACATCGTGCCGGACGACGAACGGGGGGACAACACAACACCACAATCGGAGAGCTGCCCCGCCGATCGGATTGAAATTCTGGGACAGGACACACGACTGCTGCTGCTGCTGCTGAGTTTTTTTGCTGGGCACCCAGAAGTTCGTCGGTTCTTTCGACAGCCACTCACCACCGCACGGGATGGCGGCGTTTAACCAAAACACGCCTCAAGATGCGTTTACTTGCTCTCTGTTCTCTAAATTAGCTCCTATACATACTCTTTGGTTCTTTCGGTACAGTCACGTAGGTAGGAAAAATAATAGATCACGACGTTTCGATCGCCACACAAGCATCTCTATCTCACCTGATGACGATTGCTTGTGTGGCGATCGAAGCGTCGTGATTTTTATTTTTTCAACCTACGTGACTTTACCGAAAGAACCAAAGAGTATGGATTCCTGCAGTCACAAAAGCTTCAAATAAAGATAGCTCCAAAACCTCTTCGTTTATTCCTCTCCCCTCGGGATGACGATTTGTTTTTATGTGATGTACAGCGCTTTTGAGTTCCTTGCCGAAATGAGCTTCATAAATGCGGTCGAAATTAATTCTTCTTTTTGTTTGATCCTCCGTTTATTTTAAATGTTTTGATCGGGATCTTTTTGTCCGTGAGCTATGGGTGGCTGAAGCCTGGTTGCCAAATTTATCCACAACTTTGAATGCACGACTGCTCCCACTCCACTGACATTTCACCTCAGCTGGCACGCATCACTGGAGGAGGGCACAACCCTTGCAGGAAGTCTGCCACAGCAGATGGCCTCGCACCGCATGTGTGTGTGCGCGAGTACCCGGTGCGGTGTGTAAATATTGCCACGAGGGAGACAAAGACGGTCCGGGCGTGGTGGTGGCCACCCACCCCCTCGTGTGCCGTGCCGACCTTCATAGGTGCTCGCTAACAGCACTTGCCCCAAAAGTCTGTTTTTCGGGCTATACGGGGGATCTTTGTCTTTGTAGTGGGGAGCGGTAGTGCAGCGGTTAGCGCCACGCTGCGCTACGAACCCGGTGACCCGAGTTCAATTCCTGCTCATGGCCAACAACGGTGACGATTATCTTAATCGGTTCTGGGCCTCCCCTAGGTCGACTCAGCCTCAAATGAGTACCTGGTGCGGTGTGTAAAAAATAACATCGCCACTCGGGAGACAAAGGCGGTCGGGCGCGGTGCTGGCCACCCACCCCCTCGTGTGCCGTGCCGGCCTTCATAGGTGCTCGCTAACAGCACTTGCCCCAACAGTCTGTTCAGGCTATAACGGGGGGGAGGGGGGGGAGGATCTTTGGTCTTTTGTGCGAGGCTCAGCAGGAGACGTGTGCCGTGGATAAAAAACAAGAACGGCAAAACAAGTGGCAAGGCGGTTGCTGCGTCTCTGAGCGAGTCTGTCCCGAGAGAGACACCGGCGACAATGCAAAACGCCAAACTCACTTGTCACTCAGTCTGCCTTTAAAATTCCACCGCGGCTACAGAAAGGAAACGATGCTCCACGGCTGCTGTGATTCTGCAAGGCGGGTGGGGGGGGAGGAGGTGGAGGTGGCGCAACATCTGCTCGACGCTTCTCCATTGTGATCGGGGATGCGAGTCAAGGATTGATTTGTCGATAGCCGCCCCCCTGTTCATGGATTGGATTGCCGCGCGGTGTCCCCGGCACCTCCTCGTGCCCGCCGTGAAGCGTCTCTTGCCTCACTTCCTGAAGAAGCTCCCCAGGGTGTCGAGTTAACGGGTCGGAAACACCGTGCCGAACAACGAGTGGCAAAGAACAAAAAAAAACACAAATAAAAACGCGTATTGGATAACTGTGTGGTAACACCCCTCAAAACCCAACAGTTTATTCACACACGCACACACGGAGATGTGCTCATGAAGCGAACTTACGCTGCCGCGGTGTTAGAACGGTGAGCACACTGGGTGTGCAAATCCCAGATGTCCCCGATTCGATTCAATCTCCCGTGGGTGGCAGTCGAAACAACGGAGCACCTTGAAGTCCACACAGAGTGTAGATTTGTGTTCACCAGTTCGTGAGTCTATCACGAGGTCACATGCGGGCTACATTCTGGATACTCCCACCTCTTTCGTCTTCCACCACGACGTTTTTGTGCCAGCGTGGAAGAGTAGGCCAAATACCCTCGACTCTCAAGCGGCTGTCTAAGAGCTCACTTCCTCCAGCAGTGGCGTGAGCAAGCAGTCTCAAGGATGCACCTTCATAAATATATAAAATTTGAAATATTTACACAAACATTTTACCTTCAAAGAAACACACCAGCGTCCAGCTCAGTGAGGCATCTTCACCGGCTGTCTGGGCGGCTACGGACGCCAGAGGCAACATTTTTGTCTGGTGCGCTTGGCCATAGTTCATGGAACGCGCACACACAACAATGGCAGTACTGTGTTACTGTGTTACTGTTTGTGCGGATAGTCAGCGCCGGCCGCCTCTCTGCGTCCGTCCACGACGACGCAAACAGGACGACAAGCCTCAACCTCCCTTGTTGTGCCGGACGATGGCGGGGGTGGCATGGTGCCTGAGGGAGTGGCGGTGGTGGTGGTGGTTGTTGTTGCGTGGGGGGTGAGGGTGCAGGGAGGTCAGGGTCAGGAGTTGTGGTGGTGGGGGGGGGTTGTAGGGCCCATGGGAGGTCACTTCCCTGCTTCATCATTGCTGGATGTGCATTTCAGGAATCGGGTGACGTCGCCTCTGGTCTCAGGCCAGGACATTTGGGGGGGGGGGCCGGGGGGGGGGCGTTATGCACAATGCCTGGAGTTGCCACCTCTGCGGTACAAACAGCCGGGATGTATCGTGGGGAAGAGGAGATTTTCGCAATGCTTACAGAGGGGAGAACTCCATGTAAATGCATGAATTTTGTCATTATAAGTCAGATGCAGCCACATTAATATTATTAAACAATTGACAAAAAATGGGGCTGTTAAGAGATTTACTGGGACAGCATTTACCGCAACTCAAGAAAGATCCTTGGGGAAATCAAGACAGGTGGCAACCCCAAGTGGTGCCTGAGACCGGGACTGGTGTGAAATGTGGGGGAGGGGAAGGCGGAACGGTACAACTATACCAGGTCCATCTTCTTGGTTCTTTCGTTAAAGTCACGTAGAAGGGAAATAATAAAATAATAAAACATAATAAAATACAATTCTGACGACGTTTCGGCCACAACGCAAGCAGCCATCCTCAGGTGAAGAACAGGTCTGTCGGAAAGACAGCGTCTACGTGACTTTACCGAAAGAACCAAGAAGATGAATCCCTGCAGTCACGAAAACTTTAAATCGAAAACTATACCAGGTCCCCTGGCTCAAGGAGGGCAGCCCTAAAACATCACAATGCCCCCCCCCCCCCTAGCCAGCTAACATGTACCGGGGCCAAACATTGATCTCGACGGACTGGAGGAGGTCTCCCTGTGATCCATCTCCGCTGACGAACGAGGGTTGTTAAGTCACGTGCAGCCCAAGCGCGTGCGCGTGTTGTGGCAAACATTGTCATAGGGAAAAAAGCGGTCATTGTAAGCGGTGTCCAGTGCCGGATTATCTTAGTAGCAACAGTAGCAAATGCTACGGGCCCCGCACTTTCAAGGGCCCCACGCTAAATGCTTTCAAGCTATTAATTCCGGTTCAGTGATTCTGCACTTGCTCTATTACTATAGTACAAAAACTACCTTCAACTTTTATGAACGACTGGGTGTTTAAGGTTAGCGATTTGTCGTATTATCTGGCTGTATAGAAAATGAAAAAAAGCCCAATAAATTTACTATGCAAGTAAAAAAAGTGTGTTTTAATATTTGTGTTTTATTTTATTTAGGGCCCCTTTATAACATATGCTACAGGCCCCGCACTATCTTCATCCGGCACTAGCGGTGTCGAAGGAAGGTTGATGCCATAAAAAACAACTCAATAATAATCATGTGCGGTCAACATCCACGCAACCTTGGACGAGGAACAATAGACAAGAGAGAAGTAGAAATGAAGGAATGAAAAGCAGATAAACTCCACGACGGGACTTGCCACCGACAGCCAAGCACGTGACTGTACTTGGCAACCCTACCGGTTTAAGTGGAAGCCTGCCGATTGTTGAACCCTCTTACCGCAGACGGATTTTCAAAGCAAACATTTCATCATTTTTTTGAACGAACAAAAACGCCGATGATTTGCATTTGACAGTCGTCGGTATGCGGCGATGGGGTTTAAACAAAAAAAATCTCCGACATCGGTAGGGATGGCAAAGCATTCAAGCACACAGAGAATGGACGATAAAATAACTGAGAATGGGACATCGAGGGGACGAGAATTCGACAGACGCCAGCAGCAGCAACAACAACCGCCTTCGCCACTAAGTGACGGGGCCGTCGCCACGGCGCCTGTGCCAGGCTATGTGCACTTTTAAGGCCACGCGAAGTGTCGAACGCCCGCTGGCACAGGAGGTCACTGGACAGACCCAGCGGCGGTGCCATGGGTTGACCGACTGAGAGGCCAGCGCACCGCTCTTCACTGCCGCGAAAAGGTCCCGGGGGGCAGCAGGAATCCGCGTGAGTCTCACCGACGCTTCAGCGGTGTTCAACGACCAGAGAAGCCCATGTTTGGAGCCTAGAGACCACAGCCGTGCCTTAGTTGCACGATTCCACCACTGCCAGCGGCAGCCACGGGGCCGAGGAGGGTGGCCCTCAAAAGGCACAATGGGGCGCAATTGGCGTCTCGGCACGAACTGCTTAATGAAGTTCAGATTGCATGGCGTGGGAGCCAAGAGGGGGGGCTGAGGCCCGAGGGCATTGGGGCTCACACAAGGGCAGCGGGGCACAGAAGGGCAGCGGGGACACAGGACAGCGGGAGTTGATGTCAAGGGGAGGTTGGCCCAGGAACGGTTCAGATACC